CTCTACAGGCTCTGTTCCTTAAGCCCTCTATCAGCTTTTCATCCAAGAGACTGTCAATCAAACAGCAGGCTCTGGAAATTATCTTACCATCTCTCCAGCAAGGTGTTTTGTATAGATGTCTTCTTGCTGGTGGTTTTTTATGCAAGTAGCTTCAACCAGAATTGCTTCACTAAAAGACTACAGAACAGAGCCTTTTGTTTTGCATAGGATCCACCTCTCTAGGGCTGCAGTATTAAGATTTCCTCCCCTTTCTTACCTAAAAGAAAATTAAAAGCTAATTCCTCCTTAAAAATATATATATAAATTAAAATATTTTTCTTTGAGCCCACTTGTGTCTGTTATAGACACAACTTTCCAAATCTTATCTGCACCACTGCAGATAGCTGTTTTCCTTGCCCTATTAATGCTAGAAACCTATTCAAGAGAAACTGCTGAAGACTTCCTATTCTAAGGCTCAGTCCTGGCATAAAAACACACACAGCACTACAATATGCTCATGCCACCAGCAATGAAAAATTAATGCAGCCATTCACCAACCCACACTCACACAAAATTATTTTTCTTCTTTGGGGAGTATCATAGTAACAAGCATCTTCTCCTCTGCACCTCTGCATAGAAACCAATGCATGCAAGAACGCTGACTTCAGGCATGAAGCATTCATAGCAACACTCAGTGTTGAGTCCAGAAGGCTCACAGGAATCCTCACAGCACAAGCCAGAAAATTCTCCCCATGATTCCTGCATCTGAGCCCAAAGCACCTGCACAGCCACATCTTCTCACTGCATTGAAGGAGTCGCCCACTTATTCTGATGGTTAACTATCCCTTCATCATTATGAATCATTTTAACGTCAAACTGTCATGGACTGTACTGGCCTGCTACACTGAAGAGCCATCAAGTTCTGTGTTTACTCCAGTGAAAGTAACTCACTTTAATTGTCATCTCACTACTGGAGAGCTCATTTGTTTTCTCATGTGGGCCTCCCATGCTTTTTCAAACAAAATGGATACTATAATGGTTTTGGTTTGTTCTGGGTTTTCTTTATAGAAACACTTTATTGCTGCAGTCAATAACCCTGTGTATCACACAAATAACCAATTACAGTTTAAGAAACTAAAAATAATTCTGCCAGTAGTAATACTGAGAAAACATACATGAAAGGATACAAAACTATACATTTAAGTTACTAGAAATTTACTAACTAAAAAATTCTGCAGAAGTGTGAAGTGTCCTGTATAAACTATACAACACATGCCAGTGTAAAGTTGTTTGACGTTATACAATTACCTATCTACAAATGTTTTACCTAAATTCAAGATCAGCTGCAATTTTCAAAGTTATCTTCTATACAAAGACAAGTGCTTTCAGTACTTCATTGGAATATACACACACACTGCAATATCTCAAAACTAAAAGATAATCCCAAAATAAAAGGTCCCGCTTATATGTTTTCTTTATGTATCTAACATAATGCTGTGAAAATCCAGCCAGCAATATCCTTGCTCCTGTATTTGCCCTGTGTCACCCATATTCGAGAGGGAACCAACCCAGAGTCACTGACCTCCCTTTCACTGCTGGCCACAGTCTCCACAGCAGACTATACCAGAAATCTGTATCTTGACACACTTCAGCTTTGGAAGAAATTTGGATCTGGATCCCACTTTGCAATAGATACTTATCCAGACAAATACAGGCCAGAAGCAACCCGCTCCTGCATGTGGCCATATCCATGCATCACTTCAAAGGTTTCTGTAGAGCAACACACCAAACAGACCCTGCCTTATAGCACTGCCACAAGTAAGACTGATGCTGTAACACAGTACAGGGGATTGGCAGAAGTAGGTTTGGACAGGGAGTTACTATTGCTTCCCAGGATTCCTCAGGTACAACACAGCGGCCCAGCACTTCTCTAACTCCTTGCAGGTGCAGTGTAACCTTTGTTGAATCCCTCCTGCTGAAACGAAGCAAATCTCAATGACATTCAGCCGCAGGAAGCTGTCCCCAGGTCTGGCCATCTCTTCAGAACACAGGGCAACATTTTAAACACCATGACCACTTATAAAATGCAGGGTTACAGTTGAAGAAAGTCCTGACAATTCATCTAATTTAACATCTCATGATCTCTTAAATGGGATCAACTTTCTGCAGCACACACCTGTATTTCTATCATAATGCATGTTCATGACCTGACAGATACACCAAATATGACGTGGTGGGGAAATTTCCTTGGCACAGGTGCTTTTTTGAACAGGATTTAAATCAACAGAATGGATGACTGGTCAGATGCCTAGGGCATGGGATGTTATCATCTGGCAGTCTAGGGAGAGGATCGTAGTAGATGGTATTAAGCTTGCATTCCCTTCTACTTGAATTCTCGTCTCAGAAAAAACCCAGGTAGCTTGAACTGACTTCAGCCAAGGAACAAGGACCAAAAGAAGTCAGACTTCTATTTCAGTCATTTCAAAAGCTACCAGAAGGAAGTGTTGGAAAGCCTGAACTGAATAAAGGTGGTCATTCCCCTTACTGACATCTGAGTTGGAAGGACAGAGCTCACCTGAGCTAGCATCAGTGCCTCGCAGCTGGAAGCTGAAAACAAGTCAACAGTATCTCCTTGAGGTGAAAGAAAGAAAAAGCACCATTCAGCCTTCTCACACCACTTCATGGCACCATGCAGCAGAAATAACAGCTCGAAAGCCCACTGCTAACACCAAGCAAGAATCAGCATGAGAAGTGTGACCAGCATAAATGAAACCCCCTGACAGATGGATTTTCTGCAGCTCTTCCTGGCATATGCATTCCTAAGCACTATAAAGAGTTTAAACATTAGGCATCAGGAAAGACCTGTGGGGAGATGGAATGGTAAGCAGCAACAGTTTCATCTGCAAATATTTTCCTCCAGATGATTTTGCCGATGATTTTTCTTCCCAAGATACACAAGGGCACAGCAAAAACCTTCAGTATCCTGAATACACTGAACACTATCTGGCATGTGCCACATGGAGCTTCCAAAACACCAAATGGTATTTCACAATGTTTCACCAAGGATCACGTATGACGGTGATGGAAAAAGGACCACCATGTTACAGTATGCCTTATTGCCACTTGTCAGAACATTGGCCAGGTACCAGTGCCTCTTAGGTGTGAGCTGGAGAATGGGTTTCATACCAGAACTTGTCCATTTTCATTTCACCTACAGATTGGATGAGAATGCACACAGCATCAGCTAGCAGATGATTCTTTGCGTCTTGCAGTTGTAAAGCGAGCATCTTGCAGACAGGTAAGCCTTGTGCACTCAGGCATTTCAGAAGAACACAAGGAAGGTGTGCAAGTCCTGATATTTAACCACCTGAGTTTATCTAGTAAATCTTTTCACAGAACAAAACAGAAAACAAAACAAGACAGTGTATTATCTGGGTTCTTGTAATAGAATAGGATGACCCACAGCAGAGTTCAGGAAAGGGCCTCAGTAATTGCACTTTAAATTACAGTAGGCATAGGCAACAAACTCTACATGTGCATGATCAGGAAGACTGCCATCCTGATAGTAGCAGGGTATGCAGGGTTTGTCTGCCTGTATCACGTAAGCATGGGACATCCTGACACCCGGCACAGTATACAAACCCATGCCACTGCAGCTTTTACTAGGACTGCCTAAAGGTCTTGGTATTTACAAATATCTCTAGAACAAGGTACCATGTTGTTCATGATGGTCACAGGCAGTAAGCTTCAAGCATGAGATCACACAGAGGCACGCTTTTCCTGTATCAGTTCTTAGAAACCACTGGTGTGTGTTCTCTTACCATAGTCCCTTCTCTGCCTTCCTTTAACATAGTAATTCAGAAATAAATTAATATTCCATTTTAAGGAAAAAAATCACCAATCTCTTACTGTTATTCCAACCCTAACCATTCTATGATTCTATGATTCTTGGGCAAGTCTTAAAACAACTACTTTTATTACGTAAAGAACTTGCCCAACGAAAGTTGTACTTGAAAAAGACTACATAAAACCTGAACAAGAGCTGAGGATTTAATTCAGTGTCTCAAGCAAACAGCAGCTTTTACCTAACTAAGCCCAGGCAGTTCCTAGTAAGACCAACCAGAAGTTTATCAATGACTTTACAGAAATTTAGATGTGGCTCAGGTAAGGAAAGTCAGCTTTGTGTGCTGATTTCTTATGGGGCTTTGTTTTTCCTCTGTTGACACTGAGACTGGTTGAATGAGGGCTTGAGGCTGGACGGCTCGCTGAAGCAGACTGGTCAAGCAAATTAACAGCAGACACCCCAGGCTTCAGGCAACTCTGTCTAAAGCCCTGCAACCAGATTTTAAAGCTGTCCCTCTCTTTTCATTAAGGCTGACTGATTAAAAATGCCAGTCCCAAATTCAAAAGCATAGACAAAACTATTCTCTAACCATGTACTGCATTACATCAGGACTAAAACCAGGCAGGGATTTTTAAACTCATCCACTTGATGCATTATTTACTTCCTAGACTTTGATCTCAGCATCTCCTCTGACAATATCAAATTCTTGGGTAATTCACACATGACACAGCACTGAAGAGGGAAAATCTATCTCAGCTGTATTGACCATCTTTTTTTCTGTAACAGCTCATTTTTTTACCAATGTAGCAACAAACCCTTTGCCAATGGTTTGGAATTAAAGTTACATCAGGTATATATGTGCAGGTGTGTTGATGATCTGACTTGTTGAAAAAACCAAAACCAAAACCAATTCCCAAAACAGAGCACTGAAACTGTTATGCATTGAAAACAAATGCTGTATACATCCACTACTTCCCATACACAAGTGCAATATCCTTTGAAAAAAACTTCTCCTCCAAGGAAACCCAAAGAGGCAGAGTTTTTAGTGTTACATTTAGTAAGATAATGTGGGCATGTGCTGGAAATCATGGTTGGAATTTTTTTTAATTTTCCTTTTTTTCGTGTAAGGCAAGAAGTTTACTTTCCAGAAGAAAACATGGGGTAAAGAATGAAGAAATGTTTCAAAAATGACACATTTGTTCAAGTTTCATTCTCATTTGACATACATATTACAAAATAAAGATTTTTAAAAGTGCTATATGCTTTGTAAGTCTCATCACAATATGTAAAGCAAAATTTTACACCTGCTGCCTAAGACAAAATGTTAGTGGCAGTGTTAGCAGTAGATTAGACTCTAGCTCTCTCATTTCCATCAGTGTCTGGGACAACCTCCTTCATCATGCTTAAAGAATAACAAACAAACAAACAAACCCCACTCTACACATATTCCAGAATCATTTAGAGTCATCTTCTAAAGTAACAGACTCCATGAAGTTGAAGACAGTTCACTAGTGACTTGCTTGATATCAACCCAACGCTCATTCTACCCAGTATCCTGTGGCTCTGATATGCCAGTACGAGAGAGAAAATGTTGAGAGGTATGCAACCATGATCACATTGACAGATACGTCAAAGGGATTTAAAAATATTCCAACAAAAAACAAATGTAAAAAAACCTCATCCACCAGCTCTCAGCTGTTAGCTGATTTTAAAAAGGTAGAGCAGTTTGCAGTAAACAATGATATTTTATATCTTCAAGAGCATACAGAAACACCCCTCCCACCCAGCAATCAGACGTGAAGGATTTCTGCAGCACAGTCTTCTGGCTCTGTGTAATGTGAAGAGTTTGTGTCTGAATGGTGAACCCCAAGCATTTCTTTACTTTCGAAGTTTGGCTCCATTAGTGCAGGTTTTTCAAAAATATTCTTTTTGCTAGTTTCTGGACAGTTTTGTACATATATTACTCGGTTATAAGCTTTAAGTCTCTTCCATAGCTGTACGTACACTTTGCATTGTACATACATGAAAAGAAGTCCTCCAGTGAAACCAATAGCCACAACCACCAGCTTAGTCCAAAATGGCCACTCTAGAATCCCTGGAACAAAGAAAATTAAAAAAGAAGAAAGAAAAAGGACACGGTCAGTATTGGATGGCCTACACCGCATCTCTCAAAAACATCCTGTAAGAAACTTGTCAGAGTTTGTTCCACACAAGCTATTCCTATTTTGCCATTTTTCTTGTTTGGCCTTCCCCTTCCTCCTTCAATTCAAACACATGCAGACTTCTACTTCATGTATCACATATATTTTCACCCACCAGAGGAAAAAAAACAAGACAACTTAGTCTCTGTGTCTGAGCACTTGTGCAGCACAATCACAAGCAGAGTCAAGGCAACAGCCAGTAATATTTATGTATTTTTACACGTGTTTTTAAACAAAAATTGTATCAGATGATGAAAGGAATTCTGTGGCATGGTTCCCGTTTCATAGCAGCAGGCTCAACTCAAGAGAACCAAGAAGTCTGTTCCACTACGTGATCACACAGTACATGGAGTCACAGACTTCAAATTCAAAAGGGAATGACTGTTATCATCTAGCTTGATATCTTTGTTATGCAGACCAGACAATTTTATCTGCATCAGACCCAGTAACTTGTAGTTGAACTAAAGCATCTAGTGTTAGAGATGCTGAAACATTCTGGCAAGTTTACTCTCCATCATTAAAACTGACCATCACTACTTTTCCTGAGGTTTTCCAACTTGAACTTTTAGACACTGGATCCTGTTACATCTCTATCGACTACTTCTAAATAACAGACTATTCATGTTATACGTCATCTGCTTACATAAGTCCTGTAGCCACCCAGCCCCTCTCCTCTTTAAAGGTAGGCGGCATCACAAGATGGATATGAAACCATGCTGAATCACCCACTGTCAGGTTTCTCAGAGAATAAAATCATGGCCTTCCAAGTCTTCAAAGTTTTGACTATGATATAGGCCAGTGTTCTTTTGGAAATGCATGGTAGCTTGGGGAGATGAAAATATTTTAGTTCCAAAATACAAAAGGCACTGCAGCATGACTACTGACAAAATCCCACCAATGATTAATACCTGAATCTCTGATTCACAGGTGAGCTATCTGATGCCATCTGTAGGCAGTGATAGTATATGCTTGCTCCCGTGCAGACATGAATGTATACCCACACACACTCCACACACCCCTGAGCTCATTACAGCATCCCACAGATTTAGAATCCAAATGAAGAGAGTAAAGAAAGCACTAGTACGTACTAAACATTCACCCTATTCCTTCTATTGATGTTCATCTAACATATTTATTGGCTGAAATAACATGGAGATAACCGATCTTTGAAAGTATATGCTTTTCATTATTACACAGAAACCTTATACTGAAAGGCCAAAAATTTTCACCGTGCATGAAAGAGATGGGGTTGGATAGAACAGAAACTAAAAGATTTCATTCAAAGCAGATTCCTGACTGAAGTCATGAGCTATCGAACTATAGTCCAAATGAGAAATGACAGCAAAAAATGTTCAGTCTGAAGTACTATTCTGCTGTGAAGAGACTGGAACAGCTTTGTGGATTTGCAGGTTTATTGACGCTCAACTACCTCCCCATATGATGCTCTTCAGTCACGAACAAAACATATTCTACCTGCATGTCTAGTTGGGATGCAATACTCTGCAAGCAAGAACAGCTTGCCTCTTAATGGGTCCCAGCCTTGGCAGATACCTGTCCCTTCTATCCCCACCTTCAGGAACAGCTCAGCTGCCTGAGAAGTAGTTCTGCAACAGCTGCAAACCTGTAGCTCAGCATACCCAGGTAAACAGATTGCAGATTGGTAAGTTTACAGCTGGTGTACTACAGAATGCCTGATATCCAGTAAGTTAACATATGAGTGCACTGTGGTGGCAAATGCGCCATGAACTGCAGTGTACCTGACTTCAGTTGTGTGAATTTGAGTCCTAAGGATCATCCTGAATTTCTTCTGCTTCAGGCACAACCACTCACAAAAAATTTCTCCAGTCTAACATGGCACTGACAAGAAACCTGTACTAACCCACCTCACAGATGACCAACTAGAAAGAAAACCCTGATGATTTACCTCAAAGATTTTGATTTAGGTTCTTCTTAATTCTTCTCTATCTGAAAACTCTTCTGGTTTTGCCCAGTTAAAAGGTAGCCATAGCAGCAAACAAATACTTACTTCCTTATCTTCCTAGTACGAGTTCCAATTTAAACTAAATTAGCTAAGGCAGTGCAATTTTGTGTCTGGCTGCTGTGGATTAGTTCTCGTATCTGTGCATGTCACAAGTGCAGACTGAATTGACTTGAAATGGACTTAAAAAGCACCCACAGATTAATTTATACTGATTACACTAAATCATTTTAGAATCATTCTTTAAAACTAACCTAACCTCAGGCTAAAGCTGACTATTCTCATTTAAACACTACCTGCACTCTTATGCTCCTCATCCTCTCTGCGTTCAGGGTAACTAATTATTTCAAAAGAGTAAGAGGGAAGATAAGAAAGTAACATACCAGTAGTCTGTCCCTGTTTAATCTCTTCAGCAGTCCTGTCTATCAGGACATAGAGAGACCACACAACACAGGTGATGGCAATGACATGGAATGTTACAGAGCACATGATCTTCCTCCTCTCGCTGGCTGTCATCTGCAGCTTCTCCCACTGGCAAGGAACCCAGAAACAGAGCAAGAGATTAGGTGTCTGTTGCAGTTACTGGACAGTATAAAGAAAGAGAACATTGATAAGAACAAAACCCAGGCAGAAGACTGGTTTCCTCCTAGCATGGATTTTAAAAGTCAGACAGCATCATGACCACAGCACATGTGTGACAGCTGGTAGCTCACCCTGCTGTGATGGGAGCCATCCCAGTGCCAGAAGGGACCTTCAGTGCTCAGCTGCCATCTGGAGCCTCAGCACAATGCCATCGCACCCTGCTTACCCATACAGGGGCAACTCCAGCACAGAGGGACCCTAACACCTTGTGCAGTGCAAGCAAGGCTGCTCTTTCACGAGTTCCGCACTCAACAGCAGCTACCCACAGTGACAGCAGAGCATTGTGAGTGTCAAAGGGTAGCCCTGCTCAGGCAGGCATTCAAAAAACCACTGCAGTACAAGTGGAACAATTGACCGGTGTATGTAAGACATCTCATGCTGAGCTCTGTTAAGAGTCCCTCTGTGCACAGGGAAGGCTGTTTAGCTCTCAGCTCACGGCTGTTTAGTTCTCACCTCCTACCTCTGGGGGTTTCATTCAATCTTCACATATATTTAACACTACTTACAGCCATGACACCCGTATTTTATTTTCAGCATTTCAAGTGCACTTAAATACATATGCCCTAAGAACACACAGCAGAAGTGGGATGACAGCTTTTGTAAGTGAGAGGATGCAGCAAATTAAATATCCCCAGACTATTGCTGATGTTTATATAGCCCACAAGAAACCACAAAGTCAGGTCACTGTATTTAGGAAAGACACAAAGAAAGCAGAAAATTATTTTAGATGCTTCTAACATGCAAGGGATTGTAAAAAAAAAAACAACCCAGCTTTTTTTTTTTTCTTTTTTAACCTGAGACACCCTTTTTTTTAATTATTTTTTTGAAATTTCTCCTATATATATGATAAAAGTTTTTGCATGTGGGATACACATCCCTCAGCATATCTGATTGGAACAGAAAGTTAACATGGGCTTTTCTCACACTTTCACAAAATATATGCTGGGGCACGCAGGACTTTCATACATACCTATGTGTTTCTAGAGAGGTGTATTTGATGTCTCCTAGAGTAATTTTCAGAAAAAGGGGACTTTGAAAAGAAGAAATAATGTGGAAGAGAGCAAGGATGTCCTGACTGGTATGACTGACATCACCCATTACAGTGAATTACTGTTTCAGTGCTACAAATAAAAGAATTCATAGCAGCCTTCCAGTACCTGAAGGGGGCATACAGGGATGCTGGGGAGGGACTCTTCATTAGGGACTGTAGTGGTAGGACAAGGGGTAATGGGTTAAAACTTAAACAGCGGAAGTTTAGACTGGATATCAGGAGGAAATTCTTTCCTGTTAGGGTAGTGAGGCACTGGAATAAGTTGTCCAGGGAGGTTGTGAATGCTCCATCCCTGGCAGTGTTCAAGGCCAGGTTGGACGAGGCCTTGGGTAATATGGTTTAGAGCGAGGTGTCCCTGCCCATGGCAGGGGGGTTGGAACTTGATGATCTTGGGGTCCTTTCCAATCCTAACTATTCTATGATTCTATAATAATTGAAACATTAAACAGAGACTTTGTGATCCTCTTTGTCTTGCCAATAATGATTTTGGCCAGTCCAAGCCGCATCTCCAGTTCTGCGGGCATCTAAATCTCATGATGAACACTTGAATTCAATACTTCTTGCAATGGCATGCTAGATTCATGTCATGTTCGAAAGCTATGTTCTTTCAACCTTCTTAGAAAAAGATTGGACAAAACATTGCATTTGGATGTTATTTTAAAGAGAAAATTGCTTTAGTGTCTAGACAAAAGTTTTCACTTTTGGTAGAAAGCATAAATAAATTATTTTGTCAAAAAGTATGCATGTGAAACTTATTTGTGAATGATTTTACAAAGCCATGAGGAATTGTGTTTTCACTGATTTGTATTTCTCTTTTCTGCTGGACAATACCTCCCCTGAGCTGCTGGATCCACAACCACCAAACCAATGTGCACCACCTCATCTCCTCAAGAGATATGACTGCACAGCGAAAGAGAAAATATTCTGCTACCTATTTTAAGTATGCAGTAGCCCAGAAAATAATCTAGAATCTGTATGCCCCTGATGCATTATTCTGATGTTACAGCATTTATGAGTTAAAATAGGAGTTCTGGGGTTTTGAAGTGTTGTTAAAACAAACCAACCAACCAACCAAAAAAAAAAAAAAAACAGCAGAAAATTTGGATTTAATGTCTTTTTTTTTTTTCATTGAGATTTTAGAATTGAGCATCCATTTCTTGTCTTCCCTCATCTTAACTTGAACCTGACACATTTTGTTTCTTATCCTCTTCCCTTACTAACTTAGCATTTGAACAGCCCAATGCTTTAATACAACCTTAAGATACTGAGGAAGTTTAATTCCATTTCTACCCTACAATCAGGCACAAACCCTATTATTTGTCCCATCATGCTCATAATCACCAGTTCCAGGCTGTTTTCTCCTGACTGACAGGATACCATAAAGGCTGAGTTGAAGATAGAGGCTGCTTATCTTCTGGCTTCAGCTGAATCTCTGAAAAGACTTTTTAGATATATTTCAAAGGAAATTTCTTCTTCTTCTGTTTATGGTCCTGCCTCTACCTTCTGGCATCTGACCTCTTTCCTACAGATGACCTGTTCAGATATAACTAATGATGCTGAGTGATTCATTTCTGAAGGTACCCAACAGCTTTTTCCCACAGGGCACAATACTCAGAACAGAAACTGCTTCCCACCCACTCCAAGCAGAGAAAGCACAGAAAAAAAAAGCATTTATACACAGAGAGCTGCCAAGCTACAGTCAGTTTAGCTACAATAGCTAACTACCAGAGCTGAATTCCACTGACGGTGAATTTGCCATGCTGCGCGTTAATTTAAATCTTTTTTGCACCCATACAAAACTGACCAGGCTTACTAGAGCCACAGAAACATGGTAAATACGTGGGGGGTCCTGTGGACTCATGGGCAAGGGCTGCTTCTTTTCAAAGTGGATCTGTGTTTAATAAAGTATTTCCTTGGGAAAGCAGGCCTTGTGCCTACCTTTCGCAAAGGCTTCAGTTTTGTCTCCATGATGAACTCATACTTGCACAGTTCACAGCATCGTGTATCTGAGCTCTTGATCCACTGCTGCAGGCAGGCTTGGTGCACAAAATGAAGACTTCCTGTGCAGTGACAGGGTGTAATCAAAGGGCTCTCATCATCTCCTTCACAGTGACATATCCTGAATCAGAAGAAAAGCTGATCATTAGGAGAAGAGGAAGCAGAAAGGATGTGGAAGAGGCATGTAATACCTGTGATCACACACGGCTGCCCATTGAGGATCCTGAGACATACATATCAAAGGAATGTGTTCCATAAAGGAGCTAAACTAAAGAATTCCACTGCTGCACAAGCACATACACAGGCACAAAATAATTGGGCACAGACACTGCTAACTAGAAAGCCAATTTCTAACAGATGAGGCAGACACGCAGAATCTGACAGAAATGCTGTATCCAAAAGAAAAAATAGGGTAAGAAATGACAATGCTTCATCTAGAACAATAACACTTAACTGAAAATAGATCTATGTATCTTCAATATACAGATCAGATAGCACTGCCGAAGACAAAATATGCACAGAGAGCTACAGCTACTCATGGATTACAATCTGAAATGAAAGATAAAACAAAATTCCCCCCAAAATTGTGAAACAGCTCAATGCAGTATCATGAAGGGTTAATTTAGAGAGCCTGGATTTTGCACAAGAGAAATTATTATTTCCAGTGCCAACTGCTAAGACAGATCCACACTGCAAAGCTACAGCACTGAATCTCCCCAAACTACACCTACTGTAAATGGATGAATGGGTTTGCTCTCCAATTCTTACTTTGCTAATAAGGAAGCATCAGCTCTGCAAAATTCTCTATTTCCCTCACAGCCTAACCATGCAGACAGCAAGGACCCCCTTATATATAGTGTTACTACCAGGTGCTGGCATTTGATTTCCAGCTTCAATTTATACACAACCCTTGGGTTGCACGAAACTCCAACAAGCCCTTCTAACCGTGTTGAGGAGGTCATTAATTGATACGGGAATGGTAAGGAGCTCAAGGAATGAATATAAGTTACTAAGCATATGTGAAGTACATCCTGGCATGCTGCCATCCCTGTCTATTACTGAAATCTCTTACTGATGTGTAGCATCTTGCCTCTTGCGACCTTGCTGATAGCTGGCAAGTGGAAATGAAGGAGTGGGTGGATTACAGCAGTGTCTTGTTGATGACAAGCCAATATGGAATGAGATTTTGCTGGTAATGAAGGGGGGGAATCAAATAATATTGGCAAATACTAACTAAGCCAGCTTCAGAAAATGCTGTCAGCAAGGAGAAAGATCAGGATAGTTAAATGATAGATAGAGGGATGGGATGCTTGCTCTTGCACTTGGTGATGCCTGCTCCTCAGTCACATTTTGGAGCTGGAGCTGTGGCAGACCTGCAGACAAGTCACCATGAAGGCAATCCAGAGTTGCTTGTTCCCACCACCTGTGCATGATTAAATCCTCCACAGCTGGAAAAAGGATACCCATTCTTTTTGGACCTTGCACTATGGATATCACGGCACTCAGACCCCCATTTTGACTAAGGCATCCAGAAAGCCCTTTACTATAAAAGAGCATGGTGGGATACAAACTGTGTTGAAAACATAAAAAAATACCTTAGGCTCTATCAACCTGATCTCAGAAGCAATTTTCAACCTGTTTTCCTTCTGACTCTCCACCCTCTGACCAAACCAGCAATGACTGTCAGGACAATACTTGGCTCAAGAAAAGCCAAGACATGTTCAGTTTGGCCTTTTGTATGTGTAGCTGATTCTCTCATGATACTCCCAGTTTGGGCAATGATAATAGAAAAATACTATCTCAGAACCCCAAAGATGAAACAAATTGCAAGATGATTTATTTGACTCCAGAGGAAATAATTTTGTTTAGTAGCCTTGTTAAGTGCATCAGAGGCATGCAGGACAGCAGATAGAAGGCTGCATGCTTCAGATTGCACATATTAAAGCAAGGTAACAGGATGAAAGAAAAGACAGAAACAGCACAAAGGCAGGGAAAAGCAGAACAGTCACCACCACACATGGGAGGGCTCAAAGATAGGTGGTTCTCTGGTAAACCAACCTGCAGGTATCCCCCGATGTGGACACAGGGGACAGAGGGGGGAATTTTTCTGAGAGAGGGGAAGGGCAGTCAAGGTCACTGTCCTTCTCAACTGAACAGAGGGGTGCCCGCTGCTCTTTTGTTTTCAGTTTTACTGAGGTGCTGTCCTCAAAGACGTCATCATCTCCCATATCATCAGAGCAGAAGTCTGTGCTTTCCACCAGCACGCTGGAAGATTTGTCAGCTTGGAAGTGACTGGAATAGCTCTCCAGTTCGTGGAACTTATGCAGGCTGCTGATGCTGGAGGTGTGGGAGAAGGAAAAAAGGTAACGCAACAGTTTTTTGCTCCTTGAGGTGTCATGGTCCACTTTGTCCTCCAGCAAGGGGATATGTACAGCGCTGTGGTTCTCTGCTCCTCCCGATGCACTCGAGTAGTTGGAAAGGGAAGGGATATAGGAGTGCTTAGAACTGGTAAAAGAAAGAGGCCTGAGATTCAGTGGTTTCCTCTCATTAAGATGAAATTTGTTAATCCTTGAACACTGCTCCTGAGTCGGGGTCAATTTGCCTTCTGAGCATGTTCGCTCCACATAGTCAAAGCACTCACTGGTGCTCTGCGCCTTCTGGTCGACATCGTTGAGAGACTTGGAGAATTTCAGAGTGCGGATGGGCTTTACATTCTTAGCAGACCTGAGTGCCTGGCCCCGATCCTGCCCACAGGAGTTTCTCTTTGCTGCACGCAACTTGTCCTGACAGATTACTGTCACAGTGACCCCTTGTGTCAGAGGGCTCTGGCAGTGAGGATTTTTCAAGACAACAGCAGACTGCACTGGACTGTGATGACAACACTCAGAAAACACTGCACTGGAACTGCATGCAGAACAGTGGAATAGAAGCACAGAAAGTAAAAAACAATTACAAAAGAGAACACACATAATTAAAAGTGAAGAAATGAGAAATTATGGCTAGTGTGAGAATGGCAAACGTAGCAGGGCCAAACAGTCAGTGGGATTTGACAAAGCAGTGTTAGACAGCAGCTGAGTCAAACAAATGGGATGTTTCACATAGGCCCCTATCACTTACTTCCCCATACACATGCTTTCCAGGTTTTTTTTCCTTAACTTGAAGCTCGCATGAGCCTCACTGTGACCATGCAACCACCACACTTTACCTGCAGATGTCCTGGTTGGATGGTGTAACAGAAGTCCGAGAGAAGCTGTGAGGGGCAGAAATAGAGGTTGGACTTCCAGCCTGCAGTGAAAGTAAAATAAACAAACAAACAAAAGCAAGTAACAGATCAGAAGAGTTTGGTATGCACAGGAATCACCTTCAGCCTCAAACACAGCATATGGAGTCAGATATCACTCTGCATCAGATATTCAAGGACTAACTGCAAGAAAGTGGCTTTATTTGCAAAGCTAGAATGGGAGGTCACATAGCCTCATCCTTAGGAAAGGTAGTAATCAGAACAGAAACGTTTTTCCACAAGGTCAAATACAACCATCTCTGGAGCAGAACCTGCCAGCTGTCAAACACTGCACCGAACAATAGCTCAGGAAATGAGCAATGCTAAGGTAATTAGAACAATTAGATGGAGGTATGTATATAGACTAGTTGGAATTTAACTACCACATAATAGCTAATCCTTCCACTTACAATGATGACAAAAGAGTAGAAGCTTGGGGCTTTTTTCACAAGACAGAGCCCTCAGTAATTCAGTAACTTAAACACTACTTGAGGAGTTATTTTCCGTACTAGCACACACTCAGGAGCACCATCTGCCAAACCAGACCATTCCCTGAAGTAGTCTTTGTATTCTGCAAAGCCTTTCATCCTACCCTTACTCTGACAGGGTCTTCCACCTACATGGAGAAGAGGTGTGGCAGCAGTCACATTCATAAGACCCAAGAAGAGCACACTGAGACATAGAATAACTGAAGAATTCAGAATTCAGCTGAACTAACCCCCCCAAAAAAGAAAGATATGTTCTTGGCATATTTAACACTTTATAGAAAAGTCTCTAAAATCGATATGGTAAAAACAAGCATTGTCTCAGAGTTGGGGCTGATGGACTATATTCTATGGGTCACAAACAGAAACTTCTTGACTCTTCCTAGAGGTTTTAGTAAGGAGGACACCTGAATTGATAATCACATAAAACAGAAGTTTTAAACCTGGTTCTCCCATGTTTCACAGCTGCTGGATAGGCTGTGCTGCTCACCCACTGCTGCAAAACACTACTTGCATTTCAGAATTCAAACAAAGGTTTACAGCTTTCTTGATCTACAGAGCAAAGTCTGAAACCCTGGAAGGAACAATGCAATCAGGAGAACACTAGTGTCAACACCACGCTGGGCTGTACAAAAACCAGCAGAGCCAGCACAGACCTGGGCCGGGCAAGTGCACAAAGCCAGACTCATGTCACGAAAGGTGTGTTGCCACAGAAGCATGCTGTGCCCAGCCCTGTACTCAGCTTGAGATGCCAGAACTAGCTCAGTCTTCACTGCTTTGATGCTCTCTGGTCACGGTGCAACACACACACACACACACACTGTATCTCTCTCAGGACTCTTTAATCCTATACTTACTTTGTTAAAAGACCCTATTGTACACTTAAACAAGGCTGCTGCAGGCTTTTACACTCCCACAGCAAAAGCAATAGCCTGTCACACATTATACTCTTCTTTGTGAGAGAAGACGGGCATACTAGGATACACACACTACTTTGTAAATCAGATACAACAATCATCTTCCATTTTACAGGACTCATCTGTTAAGGTTTTGTTTCTGTAGCCAACAGCACTACTGAGACCAATGTATCTGGCCTCACACTGGGATGCTTCACGTGCACTGAGCCTCATGAAACAGGTATCCATTTACAGCTGGGTCTGCAAGAGACAAGAGCAAGACTAAACACATGCCTCTTGATCCATAGTCAGCCACTGTAACTTATTTCCCATCCTGCCCAGCTAGGTACATGTACAGAATAAAAAACAAGAGACTGAGCCAGAAAGCAAACTCGACTATGTCATGACTGTGACAAAACAAATTAAAGACTTACACATCAGTTATTTGTTTTATCCTGTAAATTATGGTTCTTTACATTTTATACCATTTGCACAAGCCAATGATACAGAATGTTGATCATACAGTGAGGTGAATTCAGGTATTACTTAAAAATTTAATTTCTATTTGATGCCTAACGCCTCCTATAAGAAAGAACATCTCTGACTTCAAACCTTTTCAAAAGAGTTTGTGCAGTAATTACTCTTTTTTTTTAAAGGCTGACAAATTAGTGAAAGACTTGACACACTATAATCTGCTGCTATAATCATGCAAATAAAAATTTAATAAGACTTAAATAATTATTTAAAAAGACGTATTTAGCAATCTTCTAAAAACAAAATATTGAACCAGTAAAAAAGCATATTGCTTTCTACCATGGAAAGAGAGCCATATATTGTTGGAACCGGAGTCACAAATCAATTAATAAATCTGACTTAGGTTTTATGTTATAACCAAATCACAGAAAGTAACCTGCTTAGAATAAATCTAATCTCTTCACACCTTCATTTTAACAATGAAGCTTTCCAAAAAAAGACAGTGGTATATATGATGTGACAGTGTAGTAGCAGACGACTAGATTCGATGTTACTGGTTTCTTGATCCAAATGCTCAGTACCAAAATGATGTCAAAGTCTCACCAATTCGGAAATCAAAAGGCTGGGACAAAAAAAAAAAAAAAGGCAGAATTTAATTTGCATTTTAAGCTTACTACTCTGTTTCTAGATGCCAGCACTGTTCAGAGCAGCTTGCAAAAGCCCCACATCTGAGGCACATTTCCTCTCATCTTCTTGCTTCGAATCAAAAGGTCCTTTGCTCCACCTTCATACATAATGCAAATGCAACCAAAATACGAGCAGAAGTTAAGACACTTTGAAAGGCACCACAAAGTAGAACACCAAAATATTAGAGGAAGTTACACCCCACCCTAATTTTAAGCTAATGTAAGCTGTGGCTACCAACAAAAGCCATGGCTCAACGGCTCAATGGCTTTTGCCAAGTCTCTCAGACCATCCTCCTTTCCTGCCGTGGTTTTTGCTCATGAAACTATTTACAGAGCTGCCTTGCAAATCAGATTAGGATAGCAAGGTGAGGTAAAGCTAACCACTTCTTTTACTGAGCTTGTTTAATGTCAGTCACGTCCCTAGCTTCAGCGGGAAGAGGATCATTAGCTGGTTAGCACAATGAGCCTCTAATAGAGAGCCACAACTTGCTGAGGAGAGGAGAGCATAGCAAAATGCAAGCTGCTGCCAAGGGCCCAATAAGTTTGCCAGTTCTAGAAGCAGAGTGCATGCAACTGATGCTGGCCAGTCCACACAGCTTTCCTGGGTTTAATGACTCAGGTACAGAAACTATCACGCAGAGAAGTGCCAAAGTAAAAAAGAAACACTGGCAGCCTAGGCCAGAACAGGGCAAAGAACAGGCAATGTGACAGGAGAATGCAACAGAGAGGTGGATCCAGCTAGGCTGGAGTTCTGATGTTGGTCCCCTGCAATACTCAGCTCTGATGAGGCTGCGAAAATAAGCAATCAAAGCCTTCCTCACTCTGTAGCTTCTGGCATACATCCTTAATGCCCCAGCAGCACTTCTGGCTGAACTGGCTACTTACGATGGCATCAGCAGTTTTAAAGCACTCCTTGCCATAGGAGGTTTCTGCCACGCACATTATGTGATGGGTATCCTAAGCCTTGACAGCCTGAATTCGACCCTTCTAACACCAGAATCACTTGCTGAATCTCTGTAGACTTCCATGCCCTTTGCATGGAGGAGTATCACCTCCAATGACAAGCCTTGTAGCTATGTGTTAGTCAGTTACCCTGTAAAACCTGACTGGTTGCCTAAAATAGCTCAGGACTAAAGGTCAGTAGGTAATTGTGTATACTGACATTCCCACCTAATGCAATTCAGTGAAGTCACAGTACAGCCTTCTGCACTGGCGTTTAGATAACCAGTGATTCTGAAGATCCCTGGAAGCTCTCTGGAGGATTGCCATCAAGAAGATATATATACATACATATATATATCTCCATCATTTTTATATATATACAAATGTATGTGTGTGCATGCCTATATATACGTGTACATATGTGTATATATATATATATACATGTGTGCTGCCATCGCTGGTTGTTCTCATTCTGCCTCCACTCCACGAACAGTGTGATGTGCTAGTGAAAGAACCCAGCCTTTTCTGATTACCTACTTGTGATTACATGCTGCACACTAAAGAATAAAAAAAAAAACCCACCTTGCCTCAGAAAATAGTCATCTTTGAAGTGAGCCATAGTGAACACGTCAGTGACTTGGGTGTACTCCAAAAAATAACCTGCTTATTTGAGATGGCACTTCTTGGTTTAGTTGCTGTCGTCTCACTCTCTGCTGCACTTCAGTACTAGCAATTATACCTTGTTTTAAAGAACAGGGCCTGTCACATTCTAAAAACCTTATTAAATTATTCATTAAAGCTAAGAACTTAGAAACAACTTTACTCCAGAAGAATACCTCCACTGAAGCAAAGAAAGGTTTACCCCCACACCTGCTAACTTCATCATTTCTAGGTGCCACATTGAATAGAACCAGCACTATGGCCCTACTATTTGTGCTACAAATGCACCTAGAAGTCCCAGATAAGGACCTGGAACTAACATGCTAAGCACTATACATATTTAATAATACAGCAAACTTTTCTTCTTGGCAAAGAATTAGAGAAAAGAAGCAAAGTTTAAAGTCTTTTACTTAAGAGGAACTGCAGCACAAAGAGCTTTGGAGAAATACAAATTTAGCGATACAGCAAGATGCCAAACACTCCACAATCCAAATTTCAAAGCTGGCATTTTGATTAAGGGTTTGTCTTTATTTTACACTGTGATGAACCCATTTCAAATGCTTTTCTGCTTGGCAAAATAAATATATAAAATGAGAGAGCGGTAAAAATCCTGAAAGGTAGCTAGCTGCATCCGATGCTTAAAGATGTCTCAAGCACCACTAGACCATTGCAGCGGTTTCTGTCTGCCTCTGTTCCCCATAAGAACCACAGGAGCACAGTGATGGTCTTCTCCACTGAGCCAACTCAAATCACCACCAGTCCCCTGGGGATTAGAGACACAGCTAACCATAGTAGGTGTTAGCTAAGTAGAGACATCTCCCACCACTGCTCCAGAGCTGTCCTGTCCCAGGCATAACCAGTT